CTTTAAGTAGATCGTGTCCTCACGAGACTGAAATGACTACTCAGTGTGCTATAGGTGTGTAGCTGTCTTTCGCCAGATAGTGGCCTCCCCATGTTGCTTTTTTGTCCTGCTTCTCTTAGATGTTGACTTTACATTTGACTGTTCCACTTTTAAGACTGAGGAATACACACAGGTCCAACCAGACAGGATCCCTTAGAGGAGAGAGGTGGACATAAGCTTCCACCCCTCCCAGGAGGCAGCCTGATGTTGCTACCTCCAGAGGATTCTCACTGGGAAGATTAACCACACTGAAGGGTGCTTGCCCAGCTGTTGGTGGCCAGCACAAAATGAACTCAGTGGAATTTTTGTAGACTTCTTGTTTCATTTGATTTGTTTGGAGTTTTTTTGTCTAGTGATCTTTTGCTTGTTTATTATGGCTTCTGATTTTGTGTTTGTATGTGTTTTTTAAGCTTTCTATTTTTTAATGATTTATTTATTTATTTATTTATTTATTTGCTTATTTATACAGTATCCTGCCTGTAGGCCAGAAGAAGGCAACAGATCTCATTATAGGTGGTTGTGAGCCACCATGTGGTTGCTGGGAATTGAACTCAGGACCTCTGGCAGAGCAGTCAGTGTTCTTAACCACTGAGCCATCTCTCCAACCCCTCTATTTTTTTTTAATCTGTTTTGCTTGCTTTTTGTCTGCTTATTTGTTTTCTAGAGAAAGAAAGAAGGACTGGAACTGGGTGGGTGGGGGGCATCTGGGAGAAGTTGGGGGAGGGAAACCATGATCAGAAAGCATTGTGTGAGAGCCAGGCAGTGGTTATGCACATCTTGAGGCAGAGGCAGAAGGATCTCTGTGAGTTCGAGGCCAGTCTGATCTACAGAGTGAGTTCTAGGGCAGCCATAACTGTTACACAAAGAATCTTGTGTAAAATCAAAACAAATAAGAAAAGAAAATACTGTTTGAAAAAAATTAGTTTCAATTTAAAAAAAAAAAAGAGGAATGAAAAAAAAACAAGAGAAAGTGGAGCCATCCCTGTTGACCCTGACCTTGGGAGGTTGATCTTTCCGAGACTCATCTTCTGGGGTCTCAAGACTTCAGGAAAGGGTTCCTTCGTTTAGAATTTGAGACATGGTGCCTCTTTTCATAGCAAATCTCACTGGACTCTCTCTCTCCTGTAGTAGGAAGCCACTTGTTTGTTCCTGCAGCTCAGACCCGAAATAACGACACAGAAACTGTATTAATTAAATCACTGCTTGGCCTATTAGCTTAAGCATATTGCTAGCTAGCTCTTACATCTAGAATTAACCCCATTTTTATTATTTTATATTTCACTATGAGGTTTGTGGTCTACCAGCAAGGTTCCAACTGACAGCTTGCGTCTTTCTCCTCTGGCAGCTACATGGCATCTCCTTGACTCCACCTGCTCTCTCTCTCTATTTATATCTTTCCCGCATGGCTATATTCTGTTAAGCCATTGGCCGAAAGCAGCTTCTTTATTAATCAATAGAAGCAATACATATACAGGAGGACTTCCCACACCATTTCCCCTTTTCTGATTAAATACAAAGGAAGGTTTTTAACTTTAGCATAGTAAAATTACATAAAACAGGTATCAAGTGAGAATTACAATTGCAATATTTATATCTACATTTTATCATAACTAAGGAAAACTATAACTGTCTATTCTTCGACTCTACCAAAGACTCCAGAAGGATATAATATTACCTAAGTAAATAGGAGGTGCATTGTAAGCAACTTCCAAAACTCTAGAATTGACAGAGATATCTCACTGCCTGGACAGTCACCCAATGTTCTTCTGTAATCTTCAGCCTACAGTCCCATAGTATCCATCAGACTTTTCCATGAAGCAGGAAATTTCAAAGACAGTTCCACCTATATTGGCATTTTGTCAGTCACTTTCTTCTGTGTCCTGCAGAAGATGAACAGGAACCCTGAAGGACTGTCTCACCTTCTTTAACTTCAGCAGTTATTTTTTCTGGGTCCTGCATATCCAGTTCATACCACATACCATCAAGCAGTCCAGGCAAGAGCAGTTTCTTGCCCTAATGGCTAACAAACTCCATAAGGAGCCTCTTCAATGCCCATCATCCTCTTGAAGTAATTGGTGCTGCCAGGAGCAGATGTGTCTCATTGTCATGAAAAAGTCCAAAGTTCTTAAAACATTTTAAATGCCAGATTCTGTAGTCTTTGAAAAATCTGAAGACTATCTATCCATCAACTGTGGCTAAGAGCATCAGTGTGTAGCTTAAGGTGAGCATCAGCAGTTATTCACTTGGACATTCATCCCCAAGCCCTGCCTGTGTCCACAACGGAGACAGCCATAGCTGCTTTAAACAGAATGCTGTGGGACCCACCTCCAGGGGCTGGTTAGCTCACCACAGCCTGCCTGTGCTCTGCAAGGTGGTGGCCCACTGAGGTGTCAGCCAGGGCAAGGCACCCAGGACTTCCTCTAGAGTCGACAGAAGAGTGAACCCCGCCTCTAGAACTCTACAGCCATTCTCACACCTTGACTATGTCAGGCTCTCCTGGGACATTTGCAGGGAAAACACAGATTCCAGGATTTTAGTTCCTTAGATGGGAGGGGTCTCCCTTTCTATCAAACACTAAAGATCATTTTCTTGGGAAGGGTGATGGTCTATGAAATATAGTTAGCTACTGAGAGTCTGATGAAGATGGTCACAAGTGCTGTGTTTACAACAGAAGACCAGGGCCTCTGTACTGCAGAAGGCCTAGTGTTGGCCTTTACCCAAGCCCCTTGACAGGAAGCCTCTAAGTAGATTTGTGCATATGCAGCCTTTTTGAAAGTAAACTAATACCCCCATAATTCCCTGCTCTGGGGCCCACTTACAGTCCCCACCGGGGCCTTCTTCATAATAACCCAGTGTGCCCATTTCTTAGTCCAGAGATAGGTGAGGGCAGCTTCAGTCCTAGGACACCTTCCCTTCCCTTTCTTTGTTTCTTTGTGCAACCAAAACATGGCTCTGCTTTGTTGTGTCAGCAGCATCCACAGAGGCAGTAGATATCACCTTTCATTTTAAGAAACTGAGTCCTCAGCCCATAGTTAATTTTCTGTAGTTTGTATTTTGTTAGAGCAAAGGAAAACCACAGCTTTCCAAACAACTGAGAAGTTGTGGTTCTTCAGCTGCGCCCCTCGTCTGTAACAGCCAGGAAGAAGGGAGACACGTGCTCCATAGTATGTCCTCAGAGGGATCTGGGGAAGAAGAGGGAAAGGAAGAGATTAACTGACTGAACTCAGCATCACAGCTATAAATCATGTGTTGCAAAATGGCGATGGGATGTTGCATCAGAGCGTGGTGGTTGTGATATGGCCTCGGGTCGCACACCCTGAGGAGTTGTGATATTCTGTACCTTTTTGCTGAAGACTTGGTGCTGAGTTCAGTTAGGTTCCCTCTGTTACGCCCTGGGACCACACGTTCTTGAGTTTCATTGTCCCTCTCCTGTATATTCTTCTTCTCTTGCTGAGGGCAGGGACCAGGTAATGGCTGCACCGAACCTGGGACCCCTGGTTCCTGCTAATGTGTCTGCACTTCTTCCTGGAAGTCTCGTCAGGAAAGCTGGGAGGCAGGGTGGCGAGGCTGCCACGGCTTTTCTCTCAGAACCGTTAGTTTTGAAAGTGTTTGTAACGTTTCCTGCCCATTTCGTGTTGCCTTTATCTCAAGATTTGAAAGATAGTGACTAGGAGTTTGTCACGGAGAACGAGGATAAAGGCTGGTAGGAGTGTTGAGGGTAGGGGCGTGAAGTGTATCGTAGCGTGCCCTTGAGATATTTGATGGCTAATTAATTGTTTTTTTTTCTGTTCTTAATTCTGCTTTTTTTTAAATAGGGAAAAAAAAGATACAGTATACAGGACAAGTGAAAGAATGTCAAAATGAGCATTATATCTGCAGCATAAATTCTCAAGGACAGGACAGGTGTCTGTACAGTAGGGTGTTTGTGCTAGGGGGAGGTGGTGCTGGGGGGGCGGCTTTGATGGGATTTAAGCAGAGCAGCGTCTGACCTGATAAAGGCAGGTGCTTTTGGAGAGAATAGTTTAGGGTCAGAAGAGCTAACAATTTTCTGACTCTAAACTCAAGACTTAGACCCAATCCATAGAAACCACAGACAGCTTTTTACCTTCTCAGTCCTGAAAATCCCTCGGGAGAGAACACAGGTCAGGAAGGGAGAAGAGCTATCCCCTGAAAAGCCGTCAGAGCTGGTACACAGGCTGGGCTTGTGGAGTTGGAGACGCCTCACACTCCAGACTGGCCTCAAGCTTGTTGTAGCTGAGAATATCATTAACCCCTACTACTCCTGCCCCACCTCCCAGCTCCACGATCACGAGGTGAACCACCAAGCCTGGTTTATGAGGTGTGGGGATAGAACACACAGCTTTGTGTATGCTGGGGAACCACTCAGCCAACTGAGTTAGCCCCAGCTCCAAGACTCAAAAACTTAATGATTTCTGACTCAGTTTTATCATTTACAGAGTTATGGTAACATGCTTTCAAGATGGTGTGTGTACTAGTCAAGAGTGTGGTCTTGAGGTTCGTAGCTCCTATCAGTACAGCTGATACACAGGTGAACTGACAGGCTGTCTGCTTTACCCCACAATAAGCCAAGGACAGAATGGTATAATTTATAATGCAGCCCGGCTGTCTGTGATGTGTGTAGAAATCAGGTGATGTATACATGGAGTTCCTTACCTTCAGTACAGTAAATGTTTAGTTGGAATTGAAGCTCTGCTATTAACTTGGAAACCTCAGCAGGATCCTCCCAGGTTCCATTTCCTAATCAGTAGAACAAGAATAGTAAAATCTAGCACATAAGGCTGTCGGAGTCAGAATGTTAGAAAGCATTCAAAATCATTGTGTCTTTAAGTAAATAGATCAAAGTATTGTCTTTCTTGAACACAATTATATGCTTTTTCATGGGAAAGTTGTGTTTGCCTTGGTTTGACTCTATCCAGTAATCTGGATTTTGTTTTCAACAGCTCAGGTGCCTAAAAGGCCAGAGGAACTTCTCCAGCCAACCACCGTTTGATGGAATCCACATCGTCAGCCATTTGATAGGAGAGAGTGAGTCCTTCCCCTCCTCAGACGAAGAGTTTGTGGATGGTTCCTTACAGGAAAGTGGCCTTGCGTTTCTGTTGCGTGGAAAGTCTGGCTCCGCGTCTCTGGATCCGGCTTTGGCAGACGGCAGTGAGAGCGAAGCGGATGATGGTGGCGTGCCGGGAACGCAGCCCCCACAGAGAGAGTCCTACTCCACCACGGTCTGACCATCACTGTGACAGCCTGAGATGAGATGGGGCCGCCCTCTGTCCTGTGTGTGTACGTGTCTGTATTTACAGCCTCACGTGACTGCCAAATGTTCCTTGAATCTCCATTGCCACGGTAGACTGGAGTGCGCTAATTGGGAAATGGAGTTCTAACAGTATTACAGAATATTAACTTTTCATATTTAGAAAATACTGCTATGTCGAAATGTCAGAACCATTTTAAAATTCAGAACTGTGGGAAATTGGATTTTCTTTAAACAAAACTGCTCTTGTGCAATATTCTATCCTCACTGATCACAGTGCGCATTGGTGTTCCTCATTCTGTTTCCAAGGTGGCTCCTCTAGACATCCAGCCAAAGCACAGAGGTGGCTCAACTTGTGTTTTGAGGATATGTTTTCTTCACTAAAACTGTAGCCCTGTTAGTGGGTCATTGAGGACTGTCAAACACAACTTTTTTCTGTATAATTTCTAAACACAAAGTAATCATTGTCTGTTCTGAAAGTTTTTTGTTTCAGTTTCTACATTTTATGTGTATCATACTTCTGTGTGTCAGAATAGTAGCAGGCTAGCTGCAGATATATTATTTGTACATATTTATAAATCCGTATCGCCCGGCATTGGAGACCCTCTTACGCGAGGAGCAAACGTTGCCAGCATTCTGACAGGACTCTGTAAGTAGCAGGGTAAAGAAACTAAACCCGGACCAGAACTACTGTTGGAGCAGCTGGGGTAGCCTGTACTCAGCGGATCCTGGCTGGTCGCTGTTCAAACACTACTGGTGAAGTCCTTGACTCCATCCGTGACTAATAAACTCCGCCATCAAAGAGGTTATAGCACATGCTAGTTCATGCCAATCTATTTAATGTAATTTACACTAGAATAAGTTCCAAGATGCACAGCAAATATATCTGGGGGGGAAATCTGTGAGTATTTAAATCCTCTAGTTTCTGATTGACAGGTAAAGCCATAAGAACCCTTTCTTCCTAGTCGTTTCTTTGTATTATTTAGAGTTTTTCTCTAGAAAACTGAACGCTTGTTATTTGTAAATTGAGAAACGATACTCACCTGTGGAGAGGCTGCTGGCCTGTGTTGACTGGATGTTTTCCACCCTCAGTTTTTAGTAGCCTGAGGCATAGAGGAAGATAGAATGTAGTGTGTTTGGAAGTACATTTTTGCACAGAGTGTTGCATACGCAAAGAAAAATATTTTATAAAATGGAGTAGAAGAAACAAGTAGTTTACCTTCTAAAGCTATATAATGCCTTATGCTGCATCATGGGCTAAGCTTTCCCAGACAGGACTGGAAACATGCCTTCTGTTTTCAGAACACCTACTAAATTACAAGCTAGTTATTTAACAGAGCTAAGATATTAATTCAGATCTCTCTCTAGACTTCTAGAGGTCTAGCTAACAAGTTTTTCAGTTCCCTTTTCTCTGGCAATGTTACATCAATAATTTTCATTTCAATTCAATTTCCTAAGTATCTCCTGTTGGGTGTTCATCTACCTGACAGAGACTTGACTACTGTTAGCCCAAGAGGCCGTCAATAGCCCAGTGACATAAGAGGAGTTATAGCCCTCCTTTTTTATCTTGACCCCCTTATCAAGAAGCCTCAGTGGGACTAGAAGTGTAGCCTGGAAGTTAGAGGGTTTACCTAAAATGCCCAAGACCCTGTGTTCAATTCCAAGCCCCACCAAAAGATGGATAAGCTCAGAGAATAACCCTCTCTGGTTTGGAACTAGGTGTAAAAGAACCCGGTCATTAAACCTTAATTCATTGATGCTCTTGTGATTTGTACAGTGGAAAATTAGAAGCAACATCCTCTCCAGAGCTTTGAGTCCAGACAGGTGCAGTGATGCAGATCTGTGGTCCCCGCTGCTCGGGACCGGCCTGGGGAACACAGTAAGATGTTATCTTTTAATTCACTTAGACCTTAGATATAAATCCTTCTGGGTTTTAGCATCCAGTAGGATACTGTGCCCTGATCTGACTCCATTTCGTCCAAATTAATGTAAGTATATTGTTCAACACTTTGAAGCATTAGACTGTGTCTCTACTGATGAACTTTATGTCTTGAAGAATTGAAAGACATTTTATGGGAACAAATAGGATGACAGATGATGGGAAACTTGATCTCTTGGGACAGTGACCTTCCCTTACCACTCCAGGTGACACATTGAAAGGACTCTTTCCCCACTGCTGGGGATGGAATCCCGGGCCGTACACACGGTGGGCAAGCTCTCTACCCCTGAGCCACAGCCAGGTCTGGCGTCTTCAAAATCAGCATATACATTTTCTTTATGGAAAATGAGACCAAAGATTTTGTTTGACACAACTTCTACTCTGGTTCTTGTTATTTGGATTGTTTGTTTTGGTTCGTCTTTATTTTGCTTGGCCAGTTGGCAGCCACTCAGCCCTTGCTGATTGAAACATCATATTCCGACTGACTGGCTATTTCTGTTGAAGAAACCTTTCCCAGCCCTGAGCACAGTGCAACTTGTTCATTTCCAAGCAGTGCCTTTGACTGAAAATAATGTCTGCTGCTTTTGAAGTATATATTATTCCTGGCGTCGTAAGAGGTCATTTGTTCCTCATTCGTTGTTTGCATAATGCACTATAATGTTCAAATTTTTAAAAATTAAGGATATCGATTATGTTTTGTGGCAAGTGTGGCTATTACACAGCACCAAGACACCCATGGCCGACCTTGTAGAATCAGTTTCCTTACTAAACAGTGAGTTTTAGCCTGAGAGTTTTTGCTGCTCTAGATTAACAAACAATTATAATTTAAAATTAATTTCTTTTTAATTCTAAAATTAGTTAAAATTTCTGGTTGGAGGTAGGGTAGATGCTATTTAAAACCCAGATTTTTACAGCACACCTGTAGATCTGCATAGCTCTTCGCTTCAGAGAAGAGACAACACAGTAATACATTGGACATGCACAGTTATAAATGTAATTCATTGTACCCTTGGATTTTTTTTATTGTAACACTGTATGATAACCTAAATGTTTACTTGTGCCTTTGCTTTAAATAATTAAAATTTCTCATTTTGCAAGACTTTATTTCCTTAAATTATTGAGAGGGAAGGGGTGTCAAAGTGCTACTGAAGAACATTGGCCACAGAGAAGACTGGTGGTGCTGAGGTCTGTGTTTCCTCAGTGGGGGGTCACAAGCCCCTGCTCTACATACAGAGTACCACGCAGTCTTCGATGAGTTTGACATCCAGGAGATATTTTCAGTTTCAGAAACAGCCAGATGTCTAGACTTGTTTCCTTCCTGAACATGGTATTTGTTTTAATTATCAGTGGCAGCATTTTCATCACAACTGTAGCTTAGGTTATTGAAGGCATCAGAAGCAGCCATGCACTGTCCGGCACTTCATGAAGATACGTGAAGTTTACAAGAGTTATAATCCGGACTTCTCTACCGGAACTGTTAGCATTTGGATTCTGATTTTGTTGTAGGGCATCCTGCATACTGTAAGATGTTTGCAGTATCATAGCCTCTACCCTATGGTTGCCAGTAGGGCACCCTGCATACTGTAAGATGTTTGCAGTATCATAGCCTTTACCCTATGGTTGCCAGTAGCACCCATGCCTTCAATGGAGGCAAAATATCTCCAGGTATGGGAAGCTGAGGAGGACCCAAGTGAGTGAGGTCTGAGTGAACGGGTAGTTGACATGGGCTCAACCTTGTCAAGGACCCCAAACCTTCAGACCCACAAGAACAAGGCAAAGCTCCTTCCTCTGTGGTGCGCGTCTTACAGAAGTGTCAAACTCCTCATCCAGACCCAAGTGTGGATGCTGATAGTGTGTACAAAAAACATCCACCATGGCCTTCTCCCTCCGGTCGTTCATGGCCTCAGATGGCTTTCCTACCGAGACTGTTCCTGATCCATCTGTGTGTCATAGCCCATGCTTCCTTCATCTGTATGTGACAACCCCACCTCTCTGCTCAGCTGTCTATAATAAACATGCTGAGCTTGCAGGGTGCTGAGGTTTCTCCACCAGGGACCAGTCCTCTGGACCCCAGCTCGTCTGTGTTTGCCCCTGTCATCATTTCCTCACCATCCAGTCAGGTCTGTCCTGGAGCCATGCAAAGGACGTGGCTTTCAGACATCATCACAGAGGAGAGAGAATAAAAGTCACTCTGTGGTCGAGAAATGCTTAGAAATTTAGCAGCATATGAAGAAAGTCAGTAGACTCCAGCATAAAAACATACGTACCCCTTGAAGACACAGGGAAAATTGGCATCTATTTCTAGTAGTCAGTGGAAAGGAAAATGTGTGTGTCACAATAGGTACCATCTCCCATCTGTGTGGAAGTGTGTGCCAGCCCTAGCTCTCAGGGTTCTGAGGCAGGAGCATTGTTCCAGCCCAGAAATTTGAGATTTGAGACAAACCTGGGTAACTTAGGCAAACCCCACCTTAAAAGAAAGGGAAAGTAAAAGATTGGCAGGTGGTGTAGGAAAAAGAGCCTGTGAGTCACTGCTGTAACTACTGTGGAGAACAGTCCTTTTGGGAAGAGTTAAAAGTGTTACTATGTAACCCAGCAGGTCTGAATAAATCCTCGGAGCAGGGACTCTCTTAATGTTCACAATGCCCACAGCAGGAGCATTGGCTAAAAGGTGGCAGCAACTGCTGTCATCAGCTGAAGGGAGTCTGGGTGTGCATGATGTATGCCTACAAGGGAGCTGTATCCATGGAAACACCGACACTGAAGTTCTGATACACTATACAATAAAAGATGGTCATTGGAAACACTGTAGTGAAATAGCCAGATAGACCTGTCCTTTTGGAGTAGACATTTTACCAGGATATGGGGTAGCCCAGGCGGTTATTATCTGGTGGTTACAAAGCTGCCAATTGGAACGATGAAAAAGGTCTGGGGGTGAACAGTGCTGATGTTTGTACCGTCTTGAAATGTGCTTGTTTGTGTTTGGATGTGAAATTTCCCCTCCCCAGGCTTAAGTGTTTGATTGGTCCCGGGTAATGGTAGTGTTTTAGAAAGTAGTATAACCTGTGTGTAATGGGGCCTTGCTGGAGGAAACTGAGAGGCAGGGCTTGAGGCTGTGATGGTGTCCTATGGAGGCAGAATCTCTGCTCCCTGATCCACCAGAGTGTGAAGGAGTCACCAGCACCACGTGAACTGCCGCCATGGACCAATCTGCTCCTGCCGTGAGCCCAGTACGCACTGCTTCCCTTGAGTTGCTTCTTGAGGGGTATTTTGGTCATGAGAGTGTGTGAGTAATAAGTACAGGAAGTTGGCACCAAGAGGTGAGGTTGTTGCTGAGATGACCATGATCTAGTAACTCTTAGGACCATGGGACTTGTTGACAGGAGTGTGAACAGGTTGGAGCTGCAGGGTGGAATACTGTAAGCAGAGCCTCGCTGGGCCATCGTGGAAACACTTCAGATGAGAATGCAAGTGAAAAGAGGAACAGGAAAGGTCAGCCAGGCTCCAGGCTTCGCAGGGGAGCAAGGACTCTTAGCCAGGACTGAGCCAGAGGCCATTCGTGTGACATGCTGGAGAAGAACATGGCCACGTTGCCGTGTCCTGAATTGGTGAATTGAAGTTAATGGCTAAATTGTTGTCTGGGGAGCTTTATCCAAGGCAGCATAGCATTTAGGCTGTGGCAAGGTCTCTGCTCACTTGTTTTAGTTAGATTGACAAAGGGAGAAGAAGCAGAACAATGTGGGAAACGTGCAGTTTTGTTCAAACGGAGCACAAACCCAGTAGCAGATAAGGCAGCTGTAGGCAAAGCTGTAATTACTAGAGAAACAATGAATATGGTGGAACTGGTGTCTTGAGGGTGAGGCTTCACCAATGGAAGGTATAAGAGTATGAGAATATAAACCCATTTTTAAATTTTCTATTTAGAAAGAATACCTGAGAAAACAGCCTTCAAAATACCCGTGCTCCAGCCTGGCTGCTGAGAAATCTGTTACCTACTTCAGTTGCACAGGTTCTTAAAGGCCACTGCAATTGTAGCCCAAGACATCAGACCATGTCAAACTCAGGAGAACTTGTCATCCGCGTGGTGCTGGTTCTGCAGGTCTGCAGGTTGCTAGAGTGATGGGCTAAGGGAGAGTGTGTCTTGGTCCCACAGAAGCATCTGGGTGGTGTGTAGCAGGGATGGCTCTGCAGTGCCAATTCGTGAAGCTGTGCGGGTGAAGGGTAAGCTTCAGCAGAGATGCCAGGCGAAGCTACAGGCACCAAATGGAGCGCTCTCAAGAGACAGAGGCACGTGTGCTTCAGGCCATAGGGCGGAGAGTGTAGGGCTCTCAGAACAGACTTGGGATTTTGAACAATGTTCGAGTTCGTACTTCAGAGACTTTTACCAATGAGTAGTGAGTGGCACATACCTGTAATTTCAATAGCAGTAGGAGGACCACTGAAAGTTCATGGCCAGCCCGGTGTATGTTGTCTCAGGTCAGCCAAGGCTGTGTGGGAAACCCTGTCTTGGAGGGCAGGGTGGAGAGAAAAACAAAAACTACTGTAGGGATCTTAAAAGTTGAGTTGAGTGTATTTTTCAAGAGATGACCGTGAGGCTTTGGAGGCCAGAGGCAGAACACTGCAGCTTGGATATAAAAATGTACCCCATGGGCTCACATGTTTGAACACTTGGTCCCCGGCTGGTGGTATTGGCCTTAACCACTGGCCTTCCCCACCATGGGCTGTACCTTCTCACACTGTGAGCCAAAAAGACTCAAGTACTATGTGTGTTTAGAATGTAAAGTCAGCTTATAAACGAGACAGAAGGCAAAATAAAACCTGAAGTGATGTGGGATTCCCCTCTGTATGCAGTAAATGTTTTATTACCATTGGTTATTAAAGAAGCTGTTTTGGACAATAACTTAGTAGAGTAAAGCCAGGCAGGACATCTGAACAGAGATAGAGAGAGAAAATAGGCTGAGTCAAAGAGATGCCATGTAGATGCAGGAGGAGAAAGATGCCAGCCACAGGCCACAACCTCATGGTGATTCACAGAGTAATAGAAATGGGTTCATTTAAGATGCAAGAGTTAGCTAGAAATATGCATAAGCTATTAGCCAGTGATGTAATTAATATAGTCTCTGTGTGATTATTTACATCCGGGCGGCCCCTTGGCACCTTCACTAGCGCCCTGTTCTCTAACACAACCACAGCCCACTGTTATGTGTACCGGTGTTAACAGAGATCCAGACTTTTATTTTTTCTATCTCAGACTCTAATCTAGAATAACACATTGTATTTAGATAGGTGTTTTCTCCCACCCTACCCCTTTGGCTCTTTGAGACAGGCGCTCACCATGTAGCCCAGGCTAGCCTCCAACTTGAACTTCCCCATCTGCCTCCCAAGTACTACAGGTGTGTGCTTCATCCCGTGCTTTGAAGGTGCTGGATCATTTAATCTTCACAATAGTATCTTTATCTTAACTTTAGATTTGAGGAAATTAAAGAACTGGGTTTAAAAAGCTTGCCCAATGTTTAGAGCTAATAATGGTGACTTTTTTTCTCATCTTTATAATAAATTCTAAGTTCTGTGTCCTGTATGTTCAGTTCATTTCTTTCCTGAGAGATGGCCAGGGTGTAGTTGGATGCCTTGGGCCATAAGTGACTGAAAACCCAACCTAAAAGTTAATAAGAAGAGGAAACCCCATGCGCTATTGAATTTTTGACAAAATCAGCAAGTCTCTTTCACCTGCTCCATGGACTTCAGCAATACCTTGTTACAAAATTCTGCTGGTGCTATCAACCATGTTGGTTCCTTTTCTTATTGGTGAAAGCAACTGACAAAAGCAACCAAAGAGGAAGGGTTTATTTGGGATCCAAGGAGACAGTCCACGGCAGAGGGCTCGTGTGGGGACAAAGGGGACAGTCCACGGCAGGAGGCTCGTCTGGGGTCACAGTCCAAGGACACAGTCCACGGCAAGAAGCCCGTGTGGGGTCACAGTCCGAGGGGACAGTCCATGGCAGGAAGCTCATGGCACAGGAGTGGGAGTCAAGTTTCATCCCTCAGCAGGAAACAGAGAGAGGTGACCTGCTGCTTTCTTATTTAACCCTGGACACCCACCCA